GGTAGATTTTCTAGGGAATCTCAACCTTCTACTGTTCTTCAGCTTTTGAAATAAAAGCAGAAAGAAAAGCTTTTCCCCAGAAAAAGCTGTTTTTGATGGAGAGCCTATAAGCTGCTTTCTTTTCCTTCATGCTCAATTTCAGCATACACAAGAAAATTACACACTTTCTTAAAATCTCTGGGAACTGGCAAGCTGTGCTTTACCCTAACCAGTAACCATCAATTATCAGGAAAAAAGCTTTTACAATGATAGAGGTAGAGATTCTGACTTATCCTAGCGGGTGTGTGTCACCGTCACTGAAATCACTTCATGATATGGTTAACCCAAACAATTAAGCTCGATGGTTACCAAAATGACCTAAAAGTTAAATTCCATACAAAATGCATTTAAAGAAAATTCTATCTATGCTTTTGGTTGTTCAGCTGCACCCCTGCCATGAGAAGTAGTCTATCGCAAACCAAAAACAGAAGTGATTACCGAAAACTTTTCAGAATGCTAACAAAGTACAGAGAAATGCATGCATGCTAACTAAGGCTTCCGATGAACTTTCCAGTCGTTTTCTCATCTTTATTTATTTGTTTTTTTCCCCCTCATCCTTTTTAAGCCAGCAATTATTCTTCATACCTGAGAATGATTTGTATCTAATGGATGAGCTTAGCGGGAGAAGAAAAATAGATGTAGTAAGTCACACTCTTTCAGAGTTTCTGTTTTACCCAAAGAAGGGGCTGTGCTGAGTCTGATTTGTGTGTTATCCGATCGCTTGGACGAGGAACACAGAGAAGACAATCTGTTAACGCTGAGCACCGACCATCTCTGTGTCAGGCTCCTCAGGTGGCTCTGTCCTTGGCAATGTCACTCGCTTTAAGCCTGTTTTATTGCCAGGTGTGTTTGGCGACGTGGAAAATACTCTCTCAGTGTGGGAAGCTTGGTATGCAGGGAGGAAACGCACATGAACTGGGTAGTAAAAGGCTAATTAAAACGGAACCACTTAACCACTTAGTGGTAGAAACACTTAAACGGCAAAATACTGGGAGAAAAATCTTGCATTAAAAAAAAAGTTATTTTAGATTCACGATGTCTTGGATTCTGTTGCTGTCCACATCAAGGAAAGCGCACCAGGCTCACCAAGAGTGGATCAAAAAGAGGGGCTTTTCAATCCCACCTCCTGCCCCACACCCCTGGCTCTGCCGGAGCCAGTCCTCTGAGTTTCCAGAGCTTTCTGCCCCACAGCGCCTGGAGGTTCTACTAGTCCCTCCCTTCCCTTTCTCCTAGGGTCCTGCGCTGCACTCCTTGCCTGGCTTGCAGGCCTGAGGGTAGTGATGCTTCCTGCTGTTGCGCATGCCCTCATTTTCTCATCGGTTCCCCCAGCTCTTTAAGCAGCCTCCTCATCAAACTCTTTTAATTTCAGCAAGACCCTGATGATATAGCGAAGGAAAAATGAAGCAGGGCAGAGGAGGGGAGGAGTCAGAGTTAAAGGATGGGTTAAGGTAGTGATCAGGGAAGAAGCTAGGAGAGGAGTTAGGGGTGGGACCAGGGGAAGGGGCTAGGGAGAGACTGGGGAGGAGTTATGGGACAGACTAGGGGAGGGGCTAAAGGAGGAGTTATGGGAGGGGCTAGGGAGAGACTAGGGGAGGGGCTAGAAGAGTTAGCGAGAGACGAGGGGAGGAGCTAAGGAGATGAGACTGGGGAGAAGCTAGGGGAGGAGTTAGGGAGAGACTGGAAGAGCTAGGGAGAGACTAGGGGAGGGATACGGGAAGGGATGGGGAGGAGCTAGAGGAGGAGTTAGGGAGAGACTAGGAGTGGAGTTAGGGAGAGACTAGGAGTGGAGCTAGGGAGAGACTAGGAGTGGAGCTGGGGGTGGAGCTGGGGGAGGAGTTAGGGGAGAATCTAGGGGTGAGGCTTGGGGAGGAGTTAGAGGGACTAGGGAAGGAGCTAAGGTAGGGGCTAGGGAAAGAGGAACTAATGGAGGGGCTAGGGAAAGAAGCAGTCATGAAAGGAACTAGGGGAGGGGCTGCAGGAGGAGTTAGGGGAGGAACTAGGCGATGAGTTAGGGGAGCAGCTAGTGAAGGGATTAGGGAAGGGGAAGGAGCAGGGGGAGACTCTAGAGGAGGGGCTGGGGAGGTTTTAAGGGAGTGGTTAGAGGTTAGAGGTAGGATCTCTGGAGCTAGAATACCAGGTATATATGTTGCCTCTGCTACTTCCTAGCCTGTAACCCATCTTAATGGAATTACTTCATCTCTTGGTTTCTCAGTTTCCTTGTCTAAAAATTCTGGATGATATAGTGGCACTTAGCTTCTATGATCCTTTTGAGTATTAAATCAATGAGTTAATCCATGATAAGTGCTGCCACCACGTCATGGTAGTCTCCAAGCAGGATTGGCAACTAGGGAGGTCAGCAAAGGCTCCCTAAGGAGGTGGCATTTTGGCATGATGAAATGACAAAGTTCTGATACACTAAGCTGATATGGGAAAAAGCACTTAAAAGTTGATGATTTTGTCTCATGTTACCATTGACTCTACATGATAATTCATAGTTTCTGTAATTGAAGATACTGGCAT